AGAGTCTGTCGATTCTTCTTTTTAATCAGCGAAGATTCCGAGGATCAATAACGCAAATAGCATCTTACGAAACAACGTAGAAGGAACGTTTCACGAGCGTGTACACGATACGCGTAAATTCGCAATACCAGAGGTAAAAGACGCTCGTAGTCGCTCGCGAAACATGGAGGAACTTCCGGTAATGAGACGGGGAGAGGTGGAGGGAGCGGAAAGATCGTCGCATCCCGTAACGAGGGAATAAATGCTAATGGTCAGCTTGTTCGGGAGCATGTCGCGCTCTAACGATACCTGGAGGCTTACACGGCTTTGATAAGACGGGCTTGCCCCCGCAGGTTTACGCGCGGAATAAAGATAAGCCGATGCGTCATGGCGTCGCGCGTTGCGTCACGTCGCGTCGCATTTGCCGATGCGGGTCATAAGTCGGAGCGGCGCATTTTGAAACAATCGCGATCGTTAAGGTCCATTGTGCAATGTACTGTGCACGCATGATACGGTGAAAACATGAAACCGTCTGGAACGAGACGGATCTCAGAGGCATTATTAGAAATTCTGAATGGCTGAGAGCTGAAAACGCAGCCATCACCGAAAAACCGCTGCCGATCGGACGGGCGCGTTTTGATTTATCCGTCACTCTTGCCACCACCTCCGTCGCTTTTGCACCACCCCTCACTTCCCCTCCCTTTCGGATCGCGCTTTTAAATCAGCGCCCGTGACGCACGGGGGAAGTTGACTCGCTGGAATAAAAAACCGAAGCGCGGGACGGTATGAAGAACCGAGCGCGGGATCAAATCCCTTTACGATCGCGCGCGCGATTGAAACAACGGCAATCGATACGTGGTTAATAACAAATTCTGTCGTAACACTCGACGAAATAAAAGCGGCCTCTATTCTATTTCCCTTTCAATTTGTTTGCCTTCAAACATGCATAAACATTACACCGGAATGGATGAAGGATCATGGCAATATTTACACGACGCACTTGCAAAGTATTCCATTGCACAACGAGTGTAAAAAAAATAATATAATAAAAAAAGAAGAGAAAGGCAGAGAGAGAGAGAGAGAGAAAGAGAGAGAAATCAGCTTACAGCGATCTACCTTGGAAGTATCGCGTGTGTAGTTAGAAAGGAAAATAAATCCACGCATCGCCGAAAAACCTGATCCTATTTCCGTTCCAATATTAACGTGGATTCCCTACACTTTGTTTGACGTGTACGTCATACCCGCCATTCCAAGCATCGTTTCAACCCCCTCGCAACGTTCTTCTTTCGTGCGTTACGTGTTCCTCGTGTGTGACATCCGTGACGACCAGGCTGACAATATACAAACACATTCGTCACTGTCGCCCACGGAACGTCTCTTATTTCATGCCGGTAAGAACGGCCGAAGCGATAGTAAAGAGGCAGACAGGCGATCAAACAGGGGGAAATCTCGATTTTTCTTCCGGAAACAACACTTTCCGGTAGCTCTATATATATCCGGTATCCGAAGCGTCATTATTGCGCACGAATTCTCAATCCCGCCGTAGAGACTCGTTTGATTAGCCGCGTGACACATAATTCAGGAAATCGACCTTTACCTTCCCTAAATAAAAATAATATGCATTTAATATTAATATGCATTTCGCGGAATGTTTACGAAATATCGAGAGAGGCTTATCCGAGACATCGTTTCGAGGGCGGATATAAAACGCTGAGTCCACTCGCGGTATAGCCGAAATTGCATCAGTTAGCGTTGCCGCAGTCGTGTGCTGGAAAATGGCCTCAAATGGCAGCGGTGCTTCCATTCTATTTTCATTCAACAAACCATCTTCGGTCCCCGCTTCCGGGCCGAAAGCGGAAACGGAAGCAGATCTCTGCTGGCTGTTTGCACACGGCTGTTTCCATAAAAGTTTAATTAATTAGGCCGTCGTATTTGATTAACGCCGCGGGATCTTTCGTGCTTCACGAAAATTGCACGAGTACGCGAGTGACGACTCATCACGTGTTAGCAGTTGGAAGCAATACTTAAATAAAAGCATCATGACATCAATGGATTAATGCCGCAGTTACGTTACAATGACGCATTAGATCAGCTTAATATACCGGATCGTATGAGCGATGGAAAATATCGGCATTGACTAACTTGTTGTTTTCAATACGTAAAACATCGACACCAATACTTATTAACACGCTAAAATGATTGATTCACGTGCGATTATACGTCCCGGCAGAATTGCTATTTATATTTAATGTGGTAAAGAGCTGCGCACAGCCAAATCCACGTCAAATTTACTAAATTACAAAATTTATGTTGCACACACAGCCGTAACGTACGAGTCAGATTTTATAAAGTGATGCACATATTTAACAATATTTCGGGATAATTAATGTCGTAAATTACAAAATAATTACAAAGTTCAAATTACAAGATAATAGAGAAGACAGGAGCACACACGTTATACGACGTATAATTTAACGTTCGTCCATTATTTTGAAATTAAATATTATAAAACGCTATCCCACCATCTCTCTCCCACCGCGTCTCGCGTCTCTGTATAATTTCTGATAGTCTATAAAAGACGGTTTCCCGACGTGAAATGATAACGGAATTAACGGGCGGGGAAGGAAACGAGCTAAATTTCTGCGGTAATTTTTGTCATGCAGCGGGATTATTAGGAGTGAGCTCGGCGCATATTAAACCGAATGCCGCAGCCCGCCGGCAACCCGGGCGGAAGTCGAGATGTATCGCGACGTTAATTAAGACGGATGTGTGCCTGCGAGATATTAGGACCTCTTCCCATATCCTTCACGAGCAGCACATCGTCCCCGGGAAAGAGCCCTTTCGGCGGTAGGTTGGTGGAATACGTGAATAAAGCGAGACGGTGTACATTGCTTTTGTGGCTTACCATCGTCAGGGACGCGCCCGTCCCGCGTGCGTACTGGAATTCCTGGACACTCACCTGAAAGCAAGAGATAGAGCGAGGGATTAAATATGAGTTGCTTATCTAAAAACACCAATCGAAATTGATGAAAATATATCAATGTGTCGAGTATCGGGAATTCACAAGCTTTCTATATGAATATAAAAGTGTGTGTAAAAAGTTGAATTAAATAAAAGATGTGTGAGAAATAATATGAAAAATTGACTTTAATCGCTCGATCGCTCGATTGGACAAGTTATCACCGTGAAAACTGCCGAGAGATTTTTTTTTTTATCTTTTCAGATCAGATTACCGAATCTTATCGGTTTCCTAAACGGATATCGTTAGGCGTCCGTTGAAATCTTTACTCATACGAATTAAAGCGCGCTTCCCTTTTTCGGGAGTTAAATCGCGGAGTAAAAGCGCGGGGCTCGGAGCAGATATCGATAATGCACTTGGTGAGAGATACACGGCACGAGCTATCTCGATCGTGCCATCTGACACACACGGTCTGAATTCGCGAGATATCTCGGCTGCGCCACCTAATAGCCAGATTAACATGTCGACAAGCGAACCTATCGACCAAATCACACATATGGCGTTTGCCGGAATCGCATCGTAGCGAATAACCTAATTTATCGTCGCCACGCGGAAAATTTGCCTTATGTTACACGTGTCACTTACATATTGTTTCATTATGTAAAATAATAGAAGATGTAAGAATAGTATGTGTGTTCTTTTTTTAAGACTTATTTTTCCCTAACCGATTATGCATCGATCGATACGTGTCATTAGAATTTTGCATATCTCGACGCAGGAGACGCATTACGTTTCCATGGGGCAATGAAAAAAAAACGTCATAAAAAAATTCTTACAACGTGAGTACGTGATTAAGAAATATTTTACAGATATCGCCTGACGCAGCGCGGCATAAAAATAAATATCGAATATCAAATTTTCAAACTCACATGCGTGACTGTAAAGCTAAAAAAAAATCGCGTAAAAACGTACAGGGCTTTCCGATAAAAGTGCGAGACCTCGTAAAGATCGTCCGTGTGCGCGAACGATAGCAAAGAAAAGTTGTAAGAACGCGTTGACGAAGAAGGCGTACCGAGGAACGGAAATCTCGCTAGACGTGACTCAGGCACGTGTTTACGTAAATTCCAATCGATAGCGTTTTATCGCCTTCGGCACGCAACTTTGACGATTGGTTGCCATTTTTCTCCACGCGAAGCTTAACACATAGTCTTTGACACGGAATCGACAAGGCGGAACTATATACTCGATATCTGCATTCGCAACATGTTTTTGTAACGTGTACATCGCGTGCAATACGAATCAGATCTCGTTAGAAACCGTTAATAATACGTATTACACGCATCAACAACTAACACGTCCTAACACTGCAGAAACGAGATTGGCCAGCATCGATTACTAGCACCGATCTTGATAGATCGGTGCTAATAATGCGATCTTTTTCTTATAGCGTGATTGCGATAAAATTCGATGAAAAGAATTTTATATAAGCGCTGAAGAAGAGTTCTATCACGTGCACTTCTTCCAAGTCCTTTTTACGAAAAATTCCATTTTGCCGCGCATTAAGGGCTGATTCGAACGTCCTATCGGATTCTGACTTTCCATCCGAGAAGTCTGTTGCCTCCAATCTTGACAGACGAATGGATAAAATTCGATACCTTCCCGGGCACAAAGGAGTCGGCGTTTTCGAGCAGAAACCTGAATGAAGCAGATGGATTTAGGGAGAAAACTCGTCGGACAAGTTGCGGAAGGGGAAGGATAATTTATCCTGTATTGGCAAATGGATGATAATGACGTTTCCCAAGAAAGGGACGTCGAATCAACGGAAGCAACGATCGATGTTTACGCGCATTTACGCGCAACCGAGCGCATACACGCGATCGAATGTGTACGCGTGCGTGTATATATGCGCGGACACCTTTATGAGATTAAGCCCGTTTACCTGTGCACCTGTGTAGGCATACGCGTAGAGCTTACGTCGATACACATGTCATGACGTGCGTGAACGTTTCGACGAAAGCTGCGCCTATTACGAGAAACATACCACGCCGCCAGCATTCCGGCAATAACTATGCGAGCTGTTACGTTGATAGTAATAAATGTCGAAACGCAGAAGTCGATGTCAGAAATAGAAATCATTACAGTATATAAGTTGGAGAAATAAAAAAAAGACGTTTCTCGATTAATCGAGCCTCAGCGACGCGAAAACGGGTAACGCAATCTTATTTTTCTGTTCAATTATACTGTTATGAATTATCTCCCCCATCGGAACTTTTAATTCGTTCGATTTCGAGCGGGCTTTCATTTAGCAGAATCTTAATTTCCGAACTTGCTCGAAGAGAGTTATATTTAATGAAACTCGAAGACAACTGGAGGAGAGGACGATCTTTCGTTTTTCTTTTTTTCTGCGCGCGCAAGGAAATTGCCAGCCAGGTGATGTGCACACGTGTGGAAGGGATTGATGCGTGCTCTCCCCCCCCCCCCGAGTATGCCCTTTCGCAGGAGTGTGTACACAGTACGGACGCCTTGATGATACTAATTGATGTCGGCTAAACGGATACAGAGGACGGCCGGATCAACCGTGAAAGCGCACTGGCACCCCTTCACGGGATTCACCCTTCCGCCTCACAACAGTCTTCGACTTCACTTGACTTCCGCCTACGAGCTCGCCCGGACCAGCTCGACAATGGACACGCCACTGGGAAGAATGTCCGCGCATGCCTCAGCAACAATGCGCGAACAATGCCGCATAACGACTTCGGCTCTCTCTTTCTCT